CTTATTTAATTCTTGGCTTCCTTATTATCTATTTCTAACCCCATCTCCAGAGTATAAAGACCTATGAGATGGCCTGTGTTTCCTCTGGAAATCTGTCTACCTATCTCTGCCTTCCTTTTTCCACTGGGAAATTAGCATGGTCGTCACAGTAGACTTCTGGCGGGGGGGGGGGGGGAGGTTGCAGATTAAGCACTTACAACTGTGCCTAGTAGAGAGAAAATGCTCAAGAAACACTTCTGCAGAAGTCCAAGTTCCATGAGCTGGTGAAGGGAGAACACACTGGTCCATCCAGTGGAATATTCCAGTGCGATATTATTCAGCCACAGAAGTGGTGAAGTACTGACACGCTGTAATGTGGATGAACCTCGAAAATGATGCTGAGAGGAGCCAGACACAAAAGGCTACATGTTGTATGATTCCATCTATATGAAATGTCCAGGATAAGCAAATTCATGTTTGTGGTTCCTAGGGGCTTGCAGAGGGAAGAGTGGGTATGTGGTTTCTTTACAAGGTGATGAAAAGGTTCTGGAACTAGATAGAGGTCATTGCACAATATTGTGAAGGGTGCTAAATGCTACCAAATTGTTCATTTTTAACTGGTTAATTTTACGTTAGTGAATCTTAACCTCCATAAAAATAATAAAAAGGACATTGGGTAAAAACAGGAAATCTGAATAAGGTGTGGACTTCAGTCAACAATGGCCAGCTTGCTGCGTCTCTATCATGCCCAGCCAATAACAGTCCTGGGGTCTTTGCACCTGCTGTGTCTTTAGCTGGAGACTTGGGGAGACTGAGAAGCTGAGTCAGACCCCGGTGAGCCAACTCCGTTGGCTCCCCTCGCCTTCCCCTGGCCACGCGAAAGGTCAGGGTGCCGGCTGGTTAGGCAAGAGTGTGACCAGGAGGCAGAAATGGCTGGGATGACATCGAGGACACTTGGGTGCCTTGGAGGGGAGAGCCTGCCCCCCAGGGGAGGGAGACCTACCGCCTATGTGGGGTTCCACAGCAAGTTGGGAAGGGGGTGGCTATGGTGCTCAGTCCAGCTGTGGGCTCTGTTGGCATTTGCTTCTTGCAGACTCGTGAACACAAAGAGCAAGAATCATTTTCTCATTTTTAAGGAAAACTGAGTAAGATCTCCCTGGACAGTGTTGCTGTGCCCAGGCCTCCCTGTCCAGGAACAGACTTCTAGGGGTTTCAGAGGGCCGCCCTTCCAGAATGTTCTGGGGAAACTAAGTTTCCATGGTGACAAGGGAGAGAGGCCACAGTCCACAGGCACTTGCATTTAGGGACGCCCTCCAGCCCTGGCCGCCAGGGGTGCCAAACGTGCTGGAGGGGCGCAACGTGGAGGAACAGGCCCTGGGTGCGCGGGCCTGGTTTTCAAAGGAACAGAGAAGGGAGCGAGGGAGGGAAGACACTTGAGGACCCGCAGAGCAAGAGTATTTTTAGGCGCTGAATGCAGCCCTGAAATATTTCCACGGCCACTCCCGAGAGTGAGCTTGGTGACTATTTCGGTGCCTGGTTCCAGTGGAGGCGGGGCGAGGATGAAGTCACCTCTGGGTGGCCCGGCCTAGTCTGGGAGGGAGCTCTGAGGGTAGCACTAGGGGCCTGCGAGGTGACTGCTCACCGGGCCAGGCGCCTGGTGCCAGCTTCTGGGGCAGAGGACAGTGGCCTAACGGCTGCCCACAAAATGGCACCACCGCTTGGAGCCCCCCAGGACAATGGGCCAGTTATGCTGACCCCAAGGCTTACAGAGTTGGAGGGGGACACGGGTGAGGCTTCAGACACTCCACGGGTGCTCACTGAAGCACTGCGAGGTGGTTTCATGCATGAACAGAGCACTTGCTGTATACCAAACATCCCCGCAACAACCCCCCAGAGGTGGAGTCCAGTTATCAGGGAGGAAACTGAGGCACAGCGAGGTCAAACATGCAGGGTCCTTTGTGTGCCTTGAACCTTGTCCCTCAGCTGAAGCTATTGTAAGGGGAGTGAATTTTTAAGCAGGAGCCCATCTTGCCTGCTGCCTGCTCCAACTGACTCCGGACTCCTGACTCTGTACTGGAGACAACAGATCCTCCAAGTTCAAGGGGACAACAGAGGGAGGCGCTGTGAGGGGGCACTGGAGCCCTGGGGCCCTGGGGCCTCGGGCAGGGCGCTCACCTTCTCTGTGTCTGTGGGAGTTCAGGGGCTTTGCACTTGCTCTTCTTCCCTCCACCTGTTTTCTGCTCTCTCCCCATGGCCAGTGTCGCCTTGTCCTTCCGCCTAGTGTGACTGTGTCCCCTCACCAAGGTTTCCCCCTCCATTGTGAGGAAAGGTCCTGCCTCAGCCTCCACAGGAAGCCCATCTGCCTGGGTCCTCACAGCGCCCCTGCCCCTTCTTCAACCTCACGGCTTCCACCCTGGGCTGAGTCCCGAGAACTACCTCTTCCTGGTCTCCTGGCTTCCACCCTTGCCTCAGTGTGTCCGGGAACCCTCTGCGGCCTCCCATCTCGCACAGGTCCTGCATCCATGCCATTTCTTGCCCCCTCACTTTGCTCCCATCGCCAATCTGCAAAGGGCCTCTGTACGGGCTGCTCCTCCCTCTGAACACTCTTCCCCAAGTTGTCTGGCTCCCTGGCCTTCCTCAAGCCCTTCTCAGATATCGCCCTCTTGCCTTCGCTGACGGTCTCTCCAGGGGTGGTATCGCCCTTGCTTTCTTCTCCAGAAGCACCTAGGACGGGGTTGTGGCCCCCATTTTCTGTCCTAAGCCAGCCCTCTGCTCGCGTTGTGGCAGGTGATGTCTCCCACTGGGGCTGGACATTAGGCCTTCTCCCATACCCCCAATGGCTAAGTTGCCCTTTGTCCACTGAGGGATGGCAGAGGACACAGGCACACGCTGAGCCACTGGAGACACATAATGCCAGTGCCAGGATGCGCCTGGCCCTAAGGTCCAACTGGAGGTGGGAAGGCCACCCGCCCTCCCACCTGGGGGAGGTGGGGGCGGTAGGCTCAGGGCAGGGCCGAGGAGGGCTGACCGGGAGGTATGTGCGGGCAAGGGCGACACAGAAAAACAACAGACCTCCCAGAGGGCTGGCTGCACCTAAGTCCCAGAAATGGGCTCTTGGCTCCAGGCAATGTCACACCTGGGCACATGAGGCTCCCTTATGGGGACCAGGAGCAAACTCCAGGGGGAGGGGGTCACTGTCTCACTCAGGGGCCCTGCACTGTCAGCTGAGAGGGCACAGGCCCCACTGACAGACCGTCAGAACAGAAAGATTGAGGCCCCGTACTTTTGGTTTCTCTTCTCGCTGAGGGGCTGAAGCTGGTTTCTTGAAACCAACCAGGAAGAAGGACTAAAACAGGGCTGTCCCAACAGCCAGCTCAGGACAGAGCCTCCAGGGAGCCAGGCATCCAGGCAGCAGGGCTGGAGCAGCAGCTCTGTCAGGGTCAGGGGAGGACAGCGAGCCAGGCTGCCTCCTGGAAAGGTCAGGGTCAGGTGGGTGCGGCAAGATTACACAGGCTGGGGGCGGGCCGGGCCGAGTGCAGTGCGAGACCAGAGGTGGGCTCGCGCCCCTGGACTTTAGAAGGGCGCTGGTGGCCTCTGGATGTTCTTGGTCCCAATCGCAGTCAAACCACCAGGAGAACAAAGAAGGCCTCTAGAGGACTTCTCATCATAGTCCATGGGACACCTGACCCCAGAGCCCCCACTTCAAAGCTGCACCAGACCAGGAACCCTCATGGACCCCTGAATCCAGGGCGATGGTGGGGGTGGGGGTGGGGGTCTTGGGAACAGGGCTCCTCCTTCCCCACCAGTCCTTCGATTCTTGTCCCTTCAGCCCTGTCAGCAGCCTTGACCCGCAGCCCACACTGCCAAGGGGCCATGGCCTGCACGCCTGATGAGGGAGCGGGGTCCCCCAGCCGTGGCTTGCCAGAACCCCCGCCCCACCCCAGAGAGCTGCTGTTACTAGATGAGGATCCGGGCAGCAGCGAGTGCCCCAGGGGTGAGACCCAGAAGCAGCAATGACGGAGGTGAGGTTGGGGCGGCAGGGAGGCAGACCACATTCTTGAACCTAAAATGCAGAGATCCTCCAGACCTGGGAGACTCTAGCACTTTGCAGTTCCCACAAGTGGAGTTTCCAGGGCAACACCCTCTATTCTACTCACCCCTCAAAACCAGTCTCAACAAGTGGTAAGTGGCGGGTGCTCATCTCCCAGCACCTGCCGTGCCTGTACTTACGAAAGGAAAACCAGCCTGCAGACAAGGACACTGGGCACTTTGTGAAAGTGTGGTTCAGTGTCTCAGGCAGTGTGGATGGTGGTGCCTTAGAGACAGTGAAAAGACTCAAGAACATCTATCTGCGCGTTCCTCGGGGCAGCCGCCCGTCTCGGAGACCTCTGGTGTGAAAGGGGCTCGCAGAACGGGCGGAATGTTGGTGGCAAGGCTGGGCCTTGTCGGTGCCTGCTGGCTCCCACCCCAACTCTCCCAGCATCAACTTTCTCTACAAAAAGGGGAGGGAGTTAAGGCAAATCTGGGGCAACCCCTGCCCCAATGCCAGTCTCACACCTTGCCTTTTGTAAGAAAACCAGAGGGACGCGGGTAAGTATCCTGTTGAAACACCTACCCTCACCCTGGCTGGTGTGGTTCAGTGGATTGGGCACTGCCTTGCAAACTGAAAGGTTGCCGGTTTGATTCCCAGTCAGGGCACATGCTTGGGTTGTGGGCCAGGTCCCCAGGAGGGGGCATTTGAGAAACAACCAATCAGCGTTTCTCTCGTGCACTGATGTTTCTTTCCCTTTCTTTCTCCATCCCGTCTCCTCTCTAAAAAAAATACAGCCCTGGCTGGTGTGGCTCAGTGGGTTGACTGCTGGCCTGTGAACCAAAGGGTCATGGGTTTGATTCTCAGACAGGGCACGTGCCTGGGTTGCAGGCCAGGTCCCTGGCTGAGGCATGTGAGAAGCAGCCAATTGATGTTTCTCTCCCTCTCTTTCTCTCTCCCTTCCCCCTCTCTATAAATAAATAAAACCTTTAAAAAAACAAAAACGAAAAACCTACTCTTAGTAAGATGGGCCACAGCCCTCAAAAGGAAACCCCTTACAGGGCTGTGATTTCCCGAGGTCACCACACGCTGTATGTGCCCAGTGGCTCGAAAGGAATTTTGGATTTGCACTTTGTAGTTGTGTGTTGTTTTTATTTTTGTAACACAAAAAGGGAGGGAGGCAGAGGGGCAGGGCCCAGCCACATCCCCACAGCAGCTTCTGAGGCACCTGTCTGTCCAGATTTGTTCTGAAAAGACCACCTCAGATCTGTGTTTCAGGAAAACGCCATGGACTGTCAATCTCTGTGCAAAGAGTGTAAAAGGAAAACAACCTGCCCGTTTGCCACAGGGATCCCACAAAAGATACAAAACAAAACTGTTTGGGAAGTGGCCCCTTAACACACAAGGGCAAGGGCTCTAAAGATGCCGTAACGCACAGAAACTTCCAGGAATCAAGTTGGCTGCAACTTCACAAAATCAGAAACACCAAATAACACTTCCAACTGTTGAAATGCTGGATTAAAAAAAGGACTTGACATAGAAGAGGATCACAAAACGCACAGGTGGGGGGTCCCCCTACCACCTGCCTCTCATTTCCGTCCTGAACAGACTTGTGGACTGGAGCAGACATGCAGCCTGGAGTGGGGGCGCTCAAGTCCCCAGGGGCTGCAAGGCCGCCTCACTGCTTGCCCGTCTGCCTGCCCGGCTTCTTTTCCGGCTGGCCTCTGCCCGTGCCTGGGATCCCGCCTCGGCCCCGGCCGCCAAACACACCTGCAGGACAGAATGGGAGCTGCAGGGGAGCCTGGTTCCAGGTATTCTAACCCCTCTGGGCCTCAGTGGCCCCCTCATAAAGCAGGGAGGGCAGGCTGAAAACTGGGGTGAAGTATCTGACCAGAGCCAGGCATGGGTGGTGCTTGAGAATGTTCTCAGTGTGACAAAGTAGGACACCAGGCCCCCTAGGGTGCAAGGGGTGTGAGGGAGGACAGAGGTGGGCCACAAGTTATCCCAGACTTGGGTCAGGCTTCCTGGGAGAGGGCCCAGGGCTGGGGTAGGAAGTGATCATTGGAAGAACAAAGCCAGAAGAGCTTCCAGGACGGGGGAGGAACCAGGACAGGAACCAGGACTCTGAGGTCTGCTCTGGAGACCTAGGACCTCCCTCCTCATGCTAGTGCCGCCGTGTGGGTACAGAGACCAGTGCCAGGAGGGGTTGGCCCACCTCACCTCGCATGGGTCAGGACCAGGTTTGCCAACTGGGCTCCACCGAGGTCTCTAGCTGCCGCTGAGGTCCCTGGGGCCTTGCTCCAGAGTAGCCAGAGCAGGCCCCTCCCCCTCCCCTGCAGCGCAGTCAGCAGTGGCGCCCCCAGTGCACAAGGCCTGGCCTTGGGTATGAGACAGGCCCTGAGACCCTGGAGCCCCCACTAACCCCCAGTCCCTGTCAATCTTCCGCCTGGAGTGCCCTCCTACCCTCTTCACTATGGCTCACTCCTGTCACCTGAGCCTGGCTCAAGCTGGCTCCAGGCCTGGCATTGAGGAGGCCCCCCAGACGGAAGAGACAAAATCAGGCCGCTCCAAGAACAGGAGCCTGACCAGGGAGGTGGGGTTTACACATGGCCTCTGGGCACAGGGTCCGGCTGACTGCCCAACAAATTTAATCTTATGCCAGAGTTGCATCTCAGGGCAGTGAAGGGGAGTCTATCAAAAAGGTGCTCCCTTGGCTTTGTATCAAGGGTCCTGTGCCAGGCCCTGACCTTGGGCCCTCGCCTGTACCTTGATGAGGTGGGCACTGCTGTATGCTCTCTAATGAGGGGAAACTGAGGCTTAGGAAGGTGCATGCCATGCCCAGAGGAAGGCAGGCAGGCAGGCAGGGTATGGAGAAAAGGGCTCAAGGCCCAGGTCAGTGTGGGTACCAGATGGATCCCCTGGGCTAGACCTAGAGCTGAGAGAGTGCCCAGGACTCAGCTGGGACCCTGGGTTGGGGGCTGGGATGGGGCAAATGGCAGTCAGCAGCAGCAGCCGCTCCACAGAAGAGCCCTGTGAGTCACAGCTCCCCAGCTCTGTCTGGGGCCAGGGCTCAGAGCCAGGCCCGCTGCTGTACCATGAGAGCACCAGCCAAGAATGTCAACATTGGGCCGAAATGGATGCCACGTGCTGCAGTGAAGGCGCGCGCGTGCGTGTGTGCGTGCGTGTGTGTGTAGGGCCTACCTCGCCCGGCACCCCCCATGCCACGGCCTTTCTGCTGCTTCTGCTGCTGCAGGCCACCACGACCACGACCTTTGGCCACCACCTCTTCCTTGACCATGTCGATGATCTCGTCAGGGATGCGTAGGTACTTGATGGTGCTGCCACGGATGTAGCACTCCGGCATCCGCCAGAACTTGTCTCCATCCTGCACGAGAGGGGCGGCTATCTGCACCTGGCGTCACCCCTGGAGGCTGCCAAGTTCCCAGTCCCAGATGTGACATGGGACCCTTCCAGTGGGGTCTTTACAGGCCTTCACACCCCTGGCACACGAGGAAGAGCCAGGGCTACACGGGAGGTGGTCTTCATGGCCTTGGCCTGTCTTTTGGCGGGGGATGGGATTTGTGACCTGCAGCTCAAAGCCCAGGGAGGGGGCTGCCCCATGCACCAGGTGCTGCCGCAGCCCAGTTACTGTCAGCTCCTGCCCCTAGCTTTCTAGAACCCACCCTCTGGAACCTTTTCTACATGGTCTGACTCATTCATTCATCCAACTATCTATGGCAGGGTCTGAGTCTGGCACGGGACACAGGGCAGGAGGATAGCGACCTTGTGAGACAGGACAGGAGAGGGGTGGGAGGCAGGTCTGGCACGTACCAGGAGCAGCTCCCCAAGATGCTAGTTTTCAGGGAGCTAATTGAGGCTGGAGAGAGGAGGGGGCTCGAAAAGCCTAAACCCTGCGGTTCCTAGGACAAGGACTACCCCCCGCCCCTGACACCAGCACAAGGCCTTCCCCTGAAGTCCCCTCCTGCCGCCCTTGGGCAGGAGCCCAGGGCCTTTTCCATCAGATTCATTTCCCAGCCCCACCCCCACTGCCCAGAGCCAGAAGCCTGGGTAGCCTTCTCCTCCCCCCACACCCTTAGAAATCAGACCAAGACCTCTCCCTGCTTAGAACCCAATCAGAGCCCTGGTTGGTGTGGCTCAGTGGGCTGGGCGTCCTCCCACAAGCTGAAAGGTCGCTGGTTAAGTTCCCGGTCAGGGCACAAGCCTGGGTTGCGGGCTGGGTCCCCAGCTGACGGCATGCGAGAGGCAGCAGATGGATGTTGCTCTCACATATCTCCCTGCCTTCCTCCCTCCCTTCCCCTCTCTAAAAATAAACAAGTAACATCTAAAAAAGCCACACAAACAAGCAACAATAAGGGTTCCCTTGGCCCAAGGATCAGGTCCAAACTCACGATGGCTCCCGGGGTCCAAGATCCAGCCCCACCCTGGCTGCTCTCTCTCTCTCTCTCTCTCTCTCTCTCTCTCTCTCTCTCTCTCTCGGCACACTCAACATACCTTCTAAACAGAACTTTCTGGAACACACAAGGAGGGCTTTCGGCCCCTAGCACTTTGCACACACCACTGTCGGTTGCCTTTCCACGTCCAGCTAACTCTAGTCCTTGACAGGGCTTGCCTCCCAGTCTCCAGTCTCGCGAAAGATCCAGTCCTCCCCAGTCCTTGCCAGAAGTCTGGTCTGGCCCAGCAGAGGCACTTGGTGGGTTAGACAACACTCGAGGGCTGACTCTTCCCAGGAACGTTCACGAGCTCCCATCCCACAGAGGAACCCCACGAGGCCCCGCACATTCCTTTCTCAGAAAGAGTGGGCAAAGGGCCAAGTCTGTGGGGATGCAAAGCACAGCCAGGCAGAAACAGAAGGATTCTGCAGAAGCTCGCGGCCAGGGCTGGGGCCAGCTGCTCCTTGATCAGCCCTCCCTAAGCCAAAGTCAGGCCGAGCCCAGCACGCTCCCTGCAGGAGCCAGGGCTCACTCTGCTTTCCGTGGCAGCGACTTAGCGCCTCCAAACCCAAGCTTCCCCTGGGATCTTGGCCCCTGGGGACTCTGGATTCTGCCACCCACCACCCAAGGGATTTTGATCCTCACCCGAGCCTTTCCTCCAAGCCATCTGGTCACAGAGGGAAATGCCCAGGGGAGGCACGTTTCTAGTCTTAGTTGATGCTGGAGACTGGACCAACCAAGCCCTGAAGCTGGTAGTTGGTTCTAGGTCCCATAAGTGGACACAGACCCACGGGCCATGTGCAGAAGGACATATGCGTGCAAGGCTGTGCACCGCAGCCCTGTCTGCTAAGGCCACAATGGAGTCACCCAGGCACCTGCTACATGTGACAAGAAAACCAGGAGGGAGCTTCTAGCAGGCTGGCGTGGAAGCTCCTTATGTACCATTACAAGAAGCAGGTCATGGAGCCGCGTAGGTGAGGGAAGGGGCCATGCCCACCAGTCTGCCTGTCAGGGTGCGAACTGCCCAAAGGACAGACCAGGGGTAGGGGGCTGCCTTACGCAGTGCGTGGCAAACCCTACAGGCACAGGCTCCAGACAACCCCACCCTGGCTGAGGCCCACAGCAGCAGCTTCTCCTGTAACCTGGGGGGCTGTGGCTAGCAGGGGGACTAAGAATGGAGTCCATACATATCAATTCGAGGGAGCCCTGCCTCCACCACCGTCCTTGTTCTCATGGCTCTGGGGTCATCCCAACCTGAGACCCGAGGGACCTGCCCCAGCCCTGGTGGCTTAGGTTCTGGCCCTGCACTTCCTGGTTTCAGGCCTGGGGAGGTAAACAAATCGCCTGTTCCATGGGGCCAGAGGGCCACCCTCGCCCCCTGGTGGCCTGGACACCCCACAGCCGCACCACAATGGCCTACAGACTGGAGCACCAGCAGCTAAGGCAGACAGGAAACGTCCCCACAGGTACAGTCCTCCTAAGTTCAAAGTCCAAGGCACTACGGACTTGGAGCCCTATCCCTTGGCACTACTCCACACCAGCCTAGTCCCTCAGGCCCCGCCCCTGGTAGGATGACTTGTGGTAGGCTGAGTAAGGCCCCCTCCTACTCCTCCCAAAAGGAGGAGAGGGCCTTTGTGCCATCTGGAAGCCAGAATGCTGAGGCTCTGTAAGCCTCCAGGCCAACCAGGCACTCCTGGTCACACGGTTCCTCCTCCCCACGCAAGCCTGCCCCACCCAACAGCCCCCAGGCGTCAGGCAGACCCCAGCTCAGGGCACTCACCCTGGACGTGCAGATCACCTCGCGCAGGTTGATGTTCATCCAGTTGTCACAGCTTACAAGGTGCCCGTTGTACGTCTCACCATTTTTAAGCTCTACCAACTGGAGAGAAATGGGCCCCAAGTCAGTCATGGGCCCCAGGGGAGGAGCATCCCTGCCACTAAGAGAAGCCCTGCCTTTATTCAGACGTGCTCTCAACTCCTCTCAGGATCCAGGGGCCACTGCGCTCAGCCCCCAGGCCCCCAGTAAGTCCATCTTACAGGGACATGTTCTGCTTTCTCTGTGCACTTTGCTGGGCATTGTAGATTTTCTATGAGGAAACCATTCTTTTTTTGAGGGGGGAGACCAAAATAGACAGGCAAACAACGAAGACTGTGATTTTAAAAAGGGCCAACTCAGGTGTCTGCCCAAGAGAAACAAAGGCGTTCTTCCCTGCAAATATGCACACAGGAGCCCTGGCCGGGCGGCTAAGTTGGTTGGAGCTGCATTCCGTACACCAGAAAAAGGCTGCGGGTTTGATTCCCGGTCAGGACACATACCTAGGGTGCAGGTTCAGTTCCTGGTCAGGGCCTGTACAGGAGGCAACCAATCGATGTTTCTCTCTCTCTCTCTCTCCCTTCCTTTCTCTCTAAAAGCAATAAACAAATCCTCAAGTGAGGATTTTAAAAAAATGTATATACAAATGTTCACAGTAGCCAAATATTCACAAATAGCCAAAAAGGAGAAACCCAAATGTCTACCAACTGGTAAATGATAAACACATTGCGATCCATCCACACAATGGAATATCACTCAGCCATAAAAAGGAGTGAAGCACTGGCACACGCTGCAGCGTGGATGGGCCTGAAACATCGCGCTGAGAGAAGACACGCACAGGCCACAAGCTGTGTTCCCATTTATATGAAGTGTCCAGATCAGGCAAATCCAGAGAGACAGGAAACAGACTGGTGGTTGTCAGGGACTGGGCGAGGGGGATGGGGATCCCCTTTGGGGTGATGGAAATGTTCTGGAACTAAATAGAAGTAATAGTTGTACATCATGAATTGACTAAAGGCCACTACATTGTTCACTTTAAAAGGCTGAGTTGTATGGTATTTGAATTGTACCGAATAAAAAGAAAACAATACACTGAAGAACAAAAAGTCATTTTAAAAAATCACATTCACATTTATACACTCATACATCACAGGATTAGTTAAGTTGCTGGGAAGAGGAATGCAGGGGGCTTCATGTAAGTCCCACTCCTGTCTGACATTTTTGGGGGAAAGATTTTATTTATTTATTTTTAGAAAGAGGGGAAGGGAGGGAGAAAGAAAGGGAGAGAAACATGGACGCGCACGAGAAACTCCGATTGGCCGCATCTCGAACGCCCCCCACTGGAGACCTGGCCCACACCCCAGGCATGTGCCTTGACCTTGACCAGGAATTGAACCTGTGACCTTTCAGTTTGCAGGCTGGCACTCAATCCACTGAGCCACACCAGAGAAGGCTTGTGTTTGACATTTTTAATGAGCACATATTACATTTGTAAGCAGCAGCAATGACACAGGTCCTGACCCATGTGGGAGGGAAGCGAACAAGCTGCTGTTTTGTGGACAGGTGGGGAAGCAGGTTTGGCTGGAGGCACCTCACTCTTCACCCAGTGTCCCCATCCCTGTGCTGGGGCTGGTCCCCACTGAAACTCGTCATCCCAGATGGCACCTACTCACCATGGGGTGATTCTGAGCCGTCTTCAGCAGTGACAACGGGAGCTGAAAGACAAACAAGGGCACAAGATTTGTCTGTTTAATCGGCACCAGGGGTCCAGGGGCACAGAGGCCTAATCCCCTAAGGAAAAGGCACTCTCCTCACTGTGCACAACCCCAAGACACACACCTGCCTCCCAGAGGCAGCTGCTACCTAGTCCCACTGCTGACCATTTGGTATTTTTTTGGTAACTGGTGCTGTCATTTTCCTCACACCCACCATGCTTATCAACAGCATCACAGCACACAGGTCTCTCTGCTGCCCCTCTCTGTTCAACTGATGTCTCAGATACACCCACACGGACACCAGCAGCTCCAGGTCTCTCATTGCCAGCATCGCATGTGGTTACCATGACCCCTCTTTACAGATGGGGATACTGAGGCTTAGAGACTGAGAATGTTGCCCAGCACTAGAGCTAGTAAGAGAAAGAGCTCAGATTGATCCCTCTGTCCACAGCCAGGGGGGACAGCCCCAACTGGACCAAGAGTGACTCGCCAGGCACAATGGGGAGTCCGCCAAAACTGAGGAGACAGGAATTCGCCAGGTAAGAGGAAGAAACATTCCAGAAAAAGTCTGTGGTTCCTGCAAGAGATGGCGGATAAAGGGTGGAATCTTTTAAAACTCACCCAGATAAGGTGGGCTTTTAAGATATTTATTTTTCCATCATTGCTGAATTTTTTTCATAATAAACATACTGTGACTAGGGGGGAAAAAATCAGCTCTTCTCATTCCTAGAACACAAATCAGGACCTGTATACTGGAGCTGCCTCAGGCTCTCCAGAAAGGTGACTCAGGCGGCAATGCTGGGGCCCAGGGTCCAATGGCAGTCCATTCGTGTGGTTAGATGAAGGTTCTGGACAGAGGGCCCGCAGACAAGAAACTGCCTCTGGGAGGAATGAGGCTCACCTCGCCCTGCCCTGACCTCCCACTACCGATCCATAAGGGCAGCTGTTCCTTCAGATGGTAGAACTGGAAGGCCTCTCCTGTGCAGGCCGGAAATGGCCCTCAACCCCCAAAGGGTGGACCACATGGAATGGCCTGGGTGGAGGTACAAATCCAATATCCCACAGGCCTTCCCTGAGAAGAGTCGCCAAGGGAGGTCCAGTGACAACAGGAAGCCAGGCCCAAGCCCACTTCCTGCACTGGCTTCCTGGACAGCTGAGATAAGGAGAAAGAATAGGCCATGTGGAAAAGGGGCAGCTGCTCCAAAGAGGATGGGCAGGTTAGGGACCAATGTGGCCAGCCCACAGCTCCTGCCCTCTCCCTTGGGTACACCTGTGTGACGCTGCAACCAGGCCTTGAAGGAGAAACGGGAGACTCAGGTCCACACTTGGGGCCACACCCCAGATCGCCTTTGCCTGTGGAGAAGCTTCGGGGTTCCCCGGGCAGTGGGACTCTAAACCAAGGGGCTAAGATACCTGGGTCCTCCTCCCAGATCATCCCAGAGGGGACAGGGTCAGGCTGACCCTGAAATGTGAGAATGAAAATGCTCTCAGTTGCCAAGATGCAGAGGGTCAGAGGAGGCACCTGCCCTGGGGACACACAGCAAGGTCTTGGTAAAGCCATTCAAAGTAGACCGATGCTTTTCAGTAGGGGACCCACAGATGTCCTTTTGTGACATATACAACCCCTATGCTGGTGATGGCCTCCCTTGGGTCACCACCCCATCCCCGCTACTGGCAGGACAGCTTTGGAGGACCCACGGCCTCTGTACTTGTCACCGGTAGTGCCCTAACCATAAACCATCTGAGGACATGTGGAACATGGAAAGGACCAGGACCTGCTCCCAGCTCTCCCCTGAATTCCTTACCACCCAATCCCCAGGAGGCCACAAGGCCAGACCTGTCAAGGCTCCAGCGAACCGGCTCACTCTGCTCACACGCCATGCGGGTTCCTCTGCCCAACCTTTGTTCCTGTGGCTCCCTCCGCCCGGGGTGCCTCCCCTGGGCTGATTGCTGCTCTAACGTCACCTCCCTCCACCAGGCCTTCATAATAACCCCATTTAGGAAACGAGGTTTCCACCTGGGCCACCCTCTGCTGTTTCCATTATAGGACTAGCCAGTCTCTAATTATCTTGTTTACTTGTCTCCCTGGCTAGACTTGAAACACCACGCCTCCTGCTAGACTGGAAAACGCAAAACGTGTGGACTTTGTCCAGCACCAAGCACGGGGCCAGGCACACGAGAGGGACTCAGTAAATATTTGCTGAACGAGTACAAGGGAAATACACATATTGCCCAGGGAGGCACATGGAGCAGGTAGCATGCTTGCCCCATCTCACAAATAAGGGATCGCTCAAGGGAGAGGTGACATCCAGACAGCCCTCCACTGCTGCAACAGCCAGGGACAGTGGCCACATCTTGCCATCTACATCCTCATCCCCAGACAAAGCTGGAGACAGAGGAAAGAACGGGAGGATCCCAGAGAACTTAAAACGCCATGGGAAAGAGGAAGATGCATGAGGATGTCAAGGGAAACAGGAGAAGGCCAGACACCCAGTTAGTTCTGAGGGAGACTGGGCCAGCTAACCGAAAGAGGATTCCGTTCTCTGGGCTTTCTCACAATGGGGTCTGGACCAATCCAGGACTAGACTCAATGGCTTCCTGAGGCTTCCAATTCAGGAAGCTGTCATGGACTACCCCCACATGCACACCCAGCCCCATGTTTCCGGCCCTCCGTGATCACAAGGAACTGAGCGTCATGCCTTGTCCACTCCTGGACACTCTTGTGGCTGAAACAGCGTGCGCTCTTTGCACAGGCGTTGTACTAGACTCTGGGACTCTATCAGGATAAACACAAAGATCCTGCCTCAATGGAGCTTTACAAAGAAGGGTCCTTCTGGTCATGCCCTCAGGCCAACGCTGTCCTCCAGCAGAGAGGAACCCCATCCCTCTTCTCAATTCCTGTACTACTCAGCAGCATTTCTGGGAGCCGTCATTAACCCTGAGGAACTGCAGCAATAGTCTCAGAGTGACTCAGGTGTTGATAGGCCAAGAATATTCCCACGAGGCCCAACTCTGAATTCCTCTGTGGGGGGGGCCTCCATTTCCCTGTCAGGGTCTCAATTTTTCCTTCTGTGAACTGAGAAGGAGCAGTTAGTCCAATTCTGGCTCAAAATACGCCCCCACTCCATGCCTGCTGTGTGATCCTGGGAGAAGAAAACCCCTTTTCTAAGTCTACTTTTCAGCCTGAAAACGAGAGGCACTGGAAGTTGTGCTGCTAATTTTCTAGGGGCCTTGCAAGCCCTGAAATCCAAAGAACTGGTTTAATTTGAGAACTCGGGGGAGGGCACCCTACTTCCTGCCACTCCAGCTTAGCCATGAGGTTAGATGCAGTTGGATGCACTCGGGGATACCTCCCTGTCAAATTCCCTGCTGCATTCATCGAGCCCTTCGGCCAGTCCCCTTCCTCTCCGGCCTCGGCTTCCCCATCTGCAGAATGGGAAGACTGCGGCTAGTCCACTATATTATGACTACACGTTCCTTCAACCGTAAGTACCCGGAGACCGACCCGCTGGACACCCTAGGAGAGCCCCCTCCCTTCTCCGAACTCAGTTTTCCCGCCTCGGGCCGAAGGGAAGGACTCGAGGCCCACATCGCACGCTCGCTCTGCTTCGCCCCTGCCCCAGCCCCAGCCCCGAGGGGCCTTGGCGGCCGCCTCCCCGGCCTCCGGACAAGAGCTCGCCACCGCCCTGCCCTCACCATGGTATCGGCAGGAACCTGACCCGCCGGTCACTTCCGCCACCGCTGCCGCCGCTGCTCACGCGCCCACCGGTAGCCGCCCCGCCGCGCGCCACTAAGCTGAATGGAGTGGCAGCCACAGGATCCAGTCCGCACGGAGCTCTAGGGAAGGGCAACCAATGCACGTGGAGTAGGGCGGGGCCAGATAGGCACAAGGGGTAGGGCGGGCGGTGTTCCCGCCGGAGGAAGAAGGGAAAGAGCCGTAAAGTGACGCGGTGAGTGCTGTAAAAGGGGGCGGAGCACCGGGCGCCTGCGCTAGTGTCCTTACGGGTTCGGTTTCTTGCTTAGGTAGAACCCGTGGTGACCTAGGGTCCACGCTGTGGGCAAAGTTGGTTATTCTTTCCAGCTTGCAATTGGAGAAACCGAGGCTCCATGGTTATTAGAAAGTGCGTTCTGGCTCCTCTTCTTCTAATGTTCATTGTTGAGGTTGGTCCTTATCCAAGGCACATCTTGGTAAGTTGGAACACAATGTGCCCCTCTGAGCCTTAGTTGTACCCCCCTGTAAAATAGCTTAATGATAGTGTCTGCTCTAGAAGGTTGCAGTGAGGATGAAACGAGTTAAGCCAAAGGAAAGCCCTTTGGACAATATCTGGCAAATACTGTTGAGCACCAACCATTTGCCTGCTCTTGGAAACACAAGTGAAAGAACCTGACAAAACTGGCTATCCTCGGGCTTACGAGCCAGCTGGGGAGACAGACAGTAAACAAAATAAATAGGCACATGTATTTTTCCCTTGGGCTGTTGTAACAAACTACAAACTGAGTGACTTAAAACAATGGAACTTGATTCAGAAGTCTGAAAACAAGGTGTCAGCTGGGTTGCTTCCTCCAGAAGGCCCTGAGGGACGATTCATCCCATGCTGCTCTCCCAGCTTCTGCTAGTTGGTGGCAGCCCTCGGAATTCCTTGGCTTGTGGACACATCTCTCCAATCTGTTTCTTTCTCCACATGGCTTTCTTCTCTGTGAGTCTGTGTCTAACCCTTCCTCTCCTTTCTGTTATAAGGACATTCCTTTCTCTTGATAGACCCATTCCGAATCCACAATAATGTTATGTCCAGATCCTTAATTACATCTGCAAAAATCTTATTTCAAATATGGTCACATAGATACCTGGGTTTAGAACATATCTAAGTTATGTTAGTGGATTGATCAAATGCAGAACCCATATAAAGTGTCAGGCACTTCTCATCCCTGGACCAACAGTTTTCCTTCAGAAGCCAGCCTTGAGATGAGTACTTGAGGGCACATAGTGTGTTCACAGGGTGACTCCAGGAAGCCGCCAGTGAGGGTGGAGACCCGATACAGCATGGGAAGGATCCCTGCACAGGGCATCAATAAGTAGGTGAGGCAGAAAGCAACTGGGGGTCAGTCCATCTGGGGACCTCCAGGAAACAGCATAAGAGCTCATGTTTCAGCCTTGACAGAGTAGCTCTGTTGGTTAGAGTGTCAATCCGATAAGGCAAGGTTGCAGGTTCGATCTCCGATCAGGGCACATATGAGAAGCAAGCAATGGCTGTCTAGGTGGAACAACAAATCGATGTCTGTCTGTCCCTTTCCCTCTCTCTCACTTCCTCTCTAAAATCAATAAACATATCCTCAGGTGAAAATTTTAAAAAAAATTTTAAATCAATAAAGTTTTCTTTAAAAAAGGGCTCGTGTCTCATTATGGTCCTGTTGTGGTCCTGTCCAGGGTCAGGGCTGCTGGAGCATTTATTCTTCAAGTGCCATCTATCATCAGCCCAGGGCTTCACACAGGGGAGCTGGCGAGGTCTGGGATGTGCGCAGGACGCTGGTAGGAGGCCAACAACGATGTGCTAACTGGTGACTCGCCAAGCCCTATTTATTAAGGATAAAGGCTGCTTGATGTAAACAACAGAAACTGAGATACACGATATGTCCCAGCGTTAATATGGTGGCGGAAGTAGGAAAAAAAATCTTGTGCTGGATTACTCCTTTCTGTGACTTTTCTAGATCTTTCTAGAAAAGTGTACAGGCTTTCTTTTGCCCAAGAGGCAAACTCCTATTTTATACTAGAAAACTCTGCTTGGGTGACCCCATGTGGTAGGCTGAGGTCACTGCGGTTTTTGTCGGTCCTTTCAACATAGGGGTGGCCAGAGTTCACCATTCTCCTGGCCATAGTGATTGGTTAAAGGACAAGCACGTGACCAACCGAGGCCAACTAGAACTAGAATCCCCCTTGAGAGGGATACTGAGGGCTAGGAGGGAGAAGGGTGCTTTCCATGGAGGTTGTTAAAAGTGAAAGAGTGAGATTTACAAGTAAAATAATGAAAGCCCAGTACCATCATGTTCCAACATGCACAATACTTCAAAATACGTAACAGCAGAGCTACCGGGTGGACAGGGAGGACAGTGTGAGACCCCGGATTGAGCTATGTCTGAAGCCATTAAATCTGACTTTCCAATTATATGAGCCAAGAAGTTGGTTTTTATTGCTTAATCCGGAGTTTGGACTCCATCCCTGGCAATTGTCAGAACGTGCATTAATGCATAGCTGCTCCATGAACTCTTCGGTGATAACTGCAAGATCTAATAATTCCCTTTCTTATACTTTGAACTTTGGTACCTTGTATAGGTTTTTATTACCTGGTTTGTTCCCTTCAGTGCTGACTCTGGATGTTAACAGTTTCCTCCCTTATATCTAGTGTGGTGGGGGAAAATGAAACCCATTGCAACTTCCCTCTCTTCACACCCTAGGCTTCTAGTAACATGTGCCCTTTGCACCAGAGGGCAAACTTATTACATGTTTGAGCTATAAAACCTGATTGTGGGAGAGGTTTTCAGTCTGTTCTCTTTTCCCACTTGGTTTGCATCTCACTCCCGCAGCCAGATCAGGCCTGCTCTGAATTTTCTGAATTCTACCTGAAGCTTCCAGAGACCCAAATAGCTGCTGAATATGCAACCTCCAGTCTGTCTGCAAATAGGTATTCTGAGGCCCTGGGCCAGAGGAAGTGGTACTTCAGCAGCATCCTGGCTAATTTGGGCCAAGGCTGCTTGGAATGAGATGTCAGTGATGAAGTCTAAGTTCCAGCCGTTCCAGCCGTTTCTGAAGATGTGGCAAGAAACTCAAAAACTTTTTTTTTTCTGGTGGTTTTTGGAGGAATTCTGACCTCTGATGAACTTTGGTAGGGGACCAACTGTGTGCCAGGCCAGTACTGGGTACAGGGACATTGATGTAATAGAGACACACCCTTTGGCATGGAAGTCCTCACCCCTATGTCAGAGGAAATGGGAAATAGGCCAGAAAAGCAGTACTTATAAAGAAATTATTTCTGAATGGGATCGTTGATAAGAAGAGGATGGAATGCGGAAATGAGAGGGGGCTCCTGGGGCGGTGGTGATTCCAGCCAGGGAGGTAAGGAGGGCCCCTCAGAAGAGGGGACAGCCAGGGAGGGCTCCTAGGAGGAGGCCATGTTCCAGCTGAGCCCCGAAGGAGAGGAAGCAGTTCGTGGTAACTGAGAGAACAGCAAGTGCAGAGGCCGTGGGGTGGGGCTGTGTTAGGCCCCGGGAGGACTGCTGGGGCTGGACTGGGGTGAGTGTGGGAGATGGGAGGGGAGGCGGAGGCCTCTGGGCCACATCAGCCTCCTTAGAAACAAAGCCTGTAGAGAACCTTCCAGCGCCACCCAACTCTTCGCTGGCTCAACTTCCTGGCCTTATACCACTTGTGTGACCCCCGGAGGCTCCGGCCCAGCAGCCTTCCAACCTGTGCCTCAGGTTCCCCATCTGTAAAACGGGATGAACAACAGAGTCTTGCTCACAGGGAAGTGGGGCGACTCCCAGATAATTCCCGGCAGGCACTCGATCAACACTTGCGGAATAGGTGACCAGCTTCAGTGAGTTCAGGTGGCCACACCTTACAGGAAGAACTGTCCTCCTACTACAAGTGAGAATCTGAAGCTGAGGAGGGCAAGGCGCTCGGCGCTCCTGGGTTGGACCGTGCGCGTGCACGCATCTCGGCCCCGGGGACGCGCACGCCTAGCGGCTGGGGTGGGGCGGGGCCAGGGGCGTGGACGTGCCTGGGGCGTGGCTGGGGGCCGGGCCTTGGCGGCACAGAACAGCGCCAGTCCGGATCCCAGCCGGTGTGAGGCGCAGCCCGAACGCCATGGAGCAGCCCCGGAAGGCGGTGGTGGTGACGGGTACGCGCTGATGGCGGCGGCGGTCGGGCCCGGGCGCGGGCGGGGCCGAGGGTGGGGTGCGGTTGTCCGGGCTGGGCAGGTGCTGGAAAGTCGTGCCACCTTAGGAAGATGTCATCGCCCACAGGAGCTCAGCTCGTTGCGTGCAACGTAGAAAGTGAAGAATGGGGCGCCCCAGTGGTTTCAGTGTCGGGGTCGGGACAGGAAAGGGTGTGGGGATCCAGTCGAGTTCTCCGCGCTGAGCAGGCTCCTCTAGCGTCCTTCCTTCCCCGGTTGGACACGGTGACCCTACGGGCACCTGCCTGTTCCGTCTGCCCGGCGAGTGAGCTGGACTGGACTCCTCCTCTCTTGCCCCTCCCGAAGTCGGGCCTGTCCCTACCCCAGGCCCCAGGGGACAAAGGCCGATTTGCGGGCAGGAAGTGCCCCGGTGATAGATGAACCTTCTGACAGCCACTGCTCCCCAGTCCTGTGCTAATGGGGGGCTGCTCTCCACCCCCTCGGGCTGGCCAGGTGGAACTCAGGAGACCTCGGATTCCCCGCTACTCTCCTGGTTGTCTCAGGGATCGGCTTGGTCAAAATCTTTTCTGCCCGGGCTGTTCGTAGGCGAGCCCGCCCCACCCCACCCCCACCACGCACTGTCACCAACTCCCCTAAAGTAAATGTTCCTCCTCGAGAAGACTCGGGACCACGTGGGCGTCAACTTCTGCCGGGGGTGTGGCTGGGGTCTCATTTTGACTCGCCTTATGGAGCGGTCCCAGTGAAAAATCCAGACAAGGTTCCCACAGGTGTCTTGTGACCTAGGAGGGTGGGACTGGTCCCGGAATTTCCAGGAAGAAGCCACTCACCTGACTAACAGGTGTGCATGATTGGGGGAGGGTCATCACCCCTTGCAGCCCTCCTATATCTGGTTATTTCTTGCTCTGTTGCTGACTGTGCTGGCAGCTATTGACTGGGCATTATCCTTGCATGAGCTCATGACATCTTAACTGTCTCTGTTTTGCAGAGGGGGAAACTGAATTTCACAGGGAAGGGAGGGAATGGAGAGGTTCCGACTCAGCTAGGGGAATGGAGTCCAGCTCCTCCAAGGCACAGCATCCTTCCCAGGGCCTTGACACTACCTGGGACCCTCAGCCCAACTGGAGTGACCCATGCTTCCAGGGCAGCCTCTCTCGGAGATGTTTATTTTTTTAGGCAGGGTGACAGGGTGATGAGAAGAGGGAAGCCATGGACTCATAGGTCTGGGTTTGAATCCCAGCTCTTCCATCTTCTCCCGGTGTGACCTGGGGCTGCTGACTTAACCTCTTTGGGCCTCAGTCGGGCCTGTGTAAAACGGGCCCAGGAAACACCCTTCCCCGAAAGGGGATGCAGTGTTGCTGAATGCTACAGTGCACAGAGAGCACTTAGCACATTTCTGGGTGACTGTCTCAGCTTGTAGCCGGGGCTGGATGATGAGCGAGTGGGGAGGAGGGCGGTGGTATGATGCCCGGACAGCGTCCACAGGCATCCCGGAGGGCCGTTCTTCATTCAGTGGCGAGCCACAGGGTGCCTGCAGCCCCCTGTATCTCCAGAATAGGAGAGAGGCCCCACAGGGAGAGAGTGATAAAATAATTATTTTTTGGGTCAAGGACAAGGGAGGAAGTTGAGAACGGAGCAAGACCAGCCTTTTCTGGGGCAAAAGGAGGCCACTGGCCTTTTGCCGGGCACGAGAGGCACGTGAAAGTAAGGACAAAAAAGGACACACAGCTTCAGTTGAGAGCAGACAAGTGTGTGTGGGTGGGGGGCAGCTCCGAAGCAGCGCTGGGTGTGCCCCAGAACTCAGGACAGGTCCCCAACATTGTCCCAGGTGTCAGCTGCTCCTGCAGCGCCCTGCTGTCTTCCCCCAGATGGGCGCAGCAGCCTGACCCTGAGCAGGCTGGGAAGGGCCACTCTGCGGTGACATGCTGCTTTTACTGTTTTTTTTAGGGTTTGGTCCTTTTGGGGAACACACTGTGAATGCCAGCTGGATTGCAGTCCAGGTAATTTGGATCCAAAGGGTAGAAATCAGTCTTGGGGCTGGGCTCCCACAGGCAATATGTGACACCAAAGAAAGGAAGGAATCTACAACACGAACATCTCCTGTGAAGCTTCCTGTGACATAGCTCAGCTTGTTGTGCACATCTTCCCTGATGGCAACTACTGTAGCTCACATGTGTTGACCCAAGTGTGTTCTGCAACCCAGCACCCTAAATTTTCCCAACAACCCCTGCATGGTTAGGAGCAGTTAATTATTCCTGCACCCACTTGACAGATGAGGAAACTGAGGCCCCAAGAGAATTATCTGAAGTCACACAGCCAGAAAAAAAGGAGTGGCATTACCTCAGAAGTGCCCCATGCCCCAGCCAGGTTTTGGGGGCACCAGGCAGGGATATTGAGGGATGCATTAACCTGAGGGGGATGCAGTGACCCTCACTGGTGCCTCCCGGCAGCTGGGGGAGGAGAAGACTACATATTGGCAGAGGTGTGGGGGAACTTTCCTGCTGTCCTGAGCAGGGTGTCAGCCAGTGAGCCTTCCAGTTTCTTTGTCAGATGGGGCGTTTGGAGGGACAGACCAGGGAACAATGGGCAGAAAGAAAGAGAAACGTTTCCTCCCGATATAAATCAGATCTGCAGAGACCGGAGCCAAACTCGCGTTACTCCTAGCCCATTAGCTGCTTGATTTAAGGCGTTGCCTGCTTTCCACTCCAGAGCCTTGAATTTGGAGAAAAATCCAAGTTGAAATCTTGATGGGCCACCTCTAGCTGGAGCTCCCACTTTTTTTTTTTTATCACCCCTACTCCAACCTCAAAAATCTTGGCCAGTTTCCTTTAAAAAAAAATTTATCCCATTTTATGAGTGAGACAGAGGGATAGGGTCCCCGGGACCCTGCAGATGGAAGCATGTTCAAGGCCTTGCTCATAGCGCCCGCTCCCTGGAGCCCCAGACAAAAAGGAAACAGCGTGTTTCTGAAGACGTGTGTGTCTGGCTTTGTGCGAGTTTCAGACCCGAGCCTTCATGGGGCTGAGTGGACACAAAGCCGTGTGTCTGAATTCCTGGGCCCCAGACATGATGATCTGCATCTAAATAGGAGAAAAATCAATTAAACAATCTTTGGAAATCCCGCCCCCCCATCAGCTTTGGGACTTGGACGGAGGGGGTGACTGCTTTTCATCCTGCTGCCCCAGAGGGAAGTACCCCTTCTGTCTCAGTCGCTCATCTCTCCAGACCCTGCCTGTGGAAGACTTTCCATTTTCTTCCCCAAGTTTATGAACAAGAGAAGGTTCTCCATCATTCCCCAGCTAAAGAGACAGCAACCTGCCCTGATCTGATTGTTTCTCTGTTTAAAACAAAACAAAACTGGGGTGGTACAGCTCTCCCCTGAATGTCTGTGCTCTTATAACTCTGTGGAATTTTATTCATGGGCACCTGCGCGTCACCTGCCTCTAGGATCAAGATTTAGGACGTTCCAGCCCCTTCCCGTTTTGCCTCTTTTCAGAACCCCTGTGCCCCTCGAAGCTCTCCCCCTCCCCAGGGTGTAAGCCTCCCTGCTGACTTCCTTGCCACCGCAGGTAAGTCTTGCCTGTGCTGTGAGGCCACATCGGTGGAGCTGTGCTGGTCTGCAGCCGTCATCGCGATTGACGCAGGGGCTGCTCGGAGCCGCGGTGGGCGCTCTTGCGTTGGCCTGGATAAAACAGATTTGCCTGTGAAAGGAGTGCAGCTGTGGGATAGGGCAAATCCGTACCTCAGGAAAAGAGGCCTCGAGTGTGTGTGGTGTGGTCCAGACTCAAGCTGCAGGAGCAGCTGACGTCTGTCACCTGCGGCTGAAGGTAGGGGTTTGGCTGCACTGCCGAGCCAGCGTCATTGCTTTCTGTCGCAGCTGATTTTTCAGAAGCCCAAGTTGCCATCTGTAGAAAGAACCCCTCCTTCCCTCTCAGGGACCAGCTCACTTCTCTCCCTGTCTGTCTCCCCTTCTCTCTTCATCTCTCTCTCTTTTTGTATCTCTTTTTCTCTCTCCCACTCTGTCTCTTTAAGCTTCTCTCGGCCTCCCTGTGGGTCTGTCTTTCTCTGTCTCAGTCAGTGTCTCCGCTTCCCTTCCCATCTCTCCACCTCTGTTTCTATGTTTTTCTCTCTCTCTGTTTCTCTTGGCCTCCCTGTGAGTCTCTCTCAGTCTCTCTCTGCCTCCCTTCCTCTCCTCCTCCATCTCTGTCTCTCGGTCTCTCGCTCCCCTTCCCTCACGTGACCTTCCTTCTTCAGCGCTGGGGGAACACCCACCAGCTGCAGCAGGAGGTGGGAGTTCTGGGGGCAGAAGGGTGACCCCCCACCGTGGTCTTTCCCCAGATGGTGCTCCTCAGCACCTCTCGCAGGAGAGATCACGTTTTTCATTCTCCTGTCGCCCCCACGTGCTGTGGGGCACCAGCTTCGTGTCTCTCTTCCTAGGAGGCCCAGGTAGATGCAGGCCTCAGGGGCTGCGACCCCCTGGCTTGGGGCTGTCTGGAGTGCTCCCTGCCTGAGCAGGCGAGGAGGAGCCGGGTCACAGGTCCTGGTGACATCACAGGACAATTACTGCCACAGTGAGTCTAGACAGACCTGCTAAGGATATTAACCAGGGAACAAAAGCGGTCTTTGTTGTGGGGTCAAGGGAATCGGTCAGACGAGTCCAAGTGGCGGAGCCTTGTCAGGTAGACGGGGTATAGACAATGCACGTCTGGGGCTCCCGGGCCGTTGCCTGCCTTTCACGGAGTATGCTCGGCGCTCGCCGCACATTGTCGCGGGGCCTGGTGTGTGCTGCCAGCCCCCAGGAGAACCAGCTGGTCCAGAGGAACAGAAAGTGTTCAGAGGCAAAGAATTGAGTGAGATTACAGGCCACCCACTCCTCGTAACTTCAGACGAACTTCATAGCTGCTCTTTGACTCCATTGCCCTTTTGAAAATTGGAGAATAATTTGCATGAAGCCACACCTACTGATCTTCATTGTCCCCATCACTTTGGAGAAAAATATTTATGCCCCTGTCTCTGATACCTTGATCAAGATAGAGAACATCGCTGTCTTCCCAGAAAGTTCCCTCCTGCATCCCCGCCCTGCCCCGGGGCAGCTGCCGTCCTGAGCTCAGTCGCCCTAGAGGAGTCTCCTTGGTCTGGAACGTATGGCGCAGGCTCTGTACCTGATGGGGCTGGCTGCCTTTGCTTAGCCTGCTTTGGTGCAGGGGGCAACTGGCTCTTTTCCGGACTCACCCCCTCCTCCCACTGACATTGGCATTGGGGGCCTTCAGAGTCTGCTCCCTAAGAAATTTTTTTTTTAGGAGAGAGAGGGGCAGGGAGAGAGGAAGAGAGGGAGAGAAACATTGGTTGCCTCTTGCCTCTCATATGCACCCTGACCACAGACCAAACCCACAACCCAGGCATGTGTGTACCCTGCCTGGGAACTGAACCTGTGACCTTTCGCTTTGCTGGACGACGCCCAACCAGCTGAGCCACCCGTTAGGGTGCTCCCTGAGAGTAAAGCAGCAGTGACGCTCATATCAGGGTCTTTTGCAAATTGGTGAATGCCTCACCGCTGGGCTGCTGGCTTTGAGGTGTGTGCATGTTCTTTGATGGTGGTTTTCATAGTTGAGACTTTTTCCCCCACTTGGGGAGAGGCTTGGTGGGCACCCAGATGACGTGAGGAGCAAAGGTGAGGTCAAGCTGGTGACACATTCTGTGGCTCCCAGCTCATTTCCTACCACTAAGATGATGTGGATAAATGGCCAACACGCCAGTGCCAGAGAAGAGGGCAGAGAGGGTTTGTAGGGACAGTCGGCCGCCGGGGTCCAGCATCCACCGTAGCACATCACGTGTCACGGTGGCCATGGGAAGGTTTCCGCTCCCCGGGGGAGAATTCCTGGGATGGGTCACTCATCGAATTAGCAGTTTCCTTGATCTCTCTGCCCTCAGAAGTGAAGCACCCAAATTGACTTGCTTAGGCTTGTGAGGGGCTCACTTTGGGGACAACTTCCCAACTGAAACTCTGAACAAACAAAGACGATCCTTTTAAATCCTCACACAGCCCGAGAGATGGATTCTTTTAATTTCTGGCCTTCAACCTTTCTTCAACCTATTTTCTGTTGCCAGAAAAGGCTGCCAGGGCCACAAGAAGATGACACAGGGTGGGGGAGGAAAATTCCAGGCAGCGGAGGACAGGAGGGGAAGGATGGGGGACCAAGGTGACGGACTGTGGGACAGCTGAGGTGATTCACCTGGGCCAGACTCCTTTGCTGGAGACTCCTCCCCACCGCCCTGTGGGATGAGGAAGCAACCATCTTTATCCCCTTTCTTTTTTTTCCTTTTTTTCCTTTTTCTTTGTTTTTTTTTCTTATCCCTTTTCAACTAAAATTTTGACAAGTTATGAGAATAGTGCAAAAAAGTCTCTTCATGCCCAGATTCCCCGAGTTTTCTCTCTATAGAGAAATAGATAAAAAGATAAATATAATTTAAATTTTTTGACTTCTAAGCCATTTTTATTGTGATAAAATATACATTATGTAAAATTGACCTCTTACCTATTTTTAAGCGTGCAGTTCGTTCGCATTGAGCACGGTCACCTCCATAACTTCCCATCTTCCAAGGGAAGCTCTGGCCCCACTAAACGCTATGTCCCCACCCCCACCTCACAGCCCCTGGCACCTGCCCTTCTACTCTGTCTCTGTGAATCTGGCTCCTCCAGGGACCTCATGGCAATGGAACCATACAGGACCTGTCCTTTGGTGACACTTATTTCACCAAGCATAATGCTTTTGAGGTTCATCCATGTCGTAACATGTCAGAATTTCTTTTCTCTCCTTTTTCTTTTTTTTAAATAATTTTTAAAAATTTTAATTTATTTTTTAGAGAGAAGGGAAGAGAGGGAAGAAGGAGGGAACCATCCATGTGTGGCTTCCTCCCCTGTGCCCCCTACTGGGGACCTGGGCCTGGAACCCAGGCACGTGCCCTGACTGGGAATCAAGCCGCCAGCCCTTTGCTTCAC